TCTGCCTGTTCTGCTCCCCACTCTGTCTCTGGTAATCCTCTCACCACCCCTGTACCTCTGGCGTGTACCCAAGTTCTGTGTGCATAAACTAATAAATCTTAAAAAATAAGTAAATAAATAAATATTTTTTACTTATTTATGCATAGAAGAAATAGGGTCTAAGCCTGCGGTTCCAGGGGTGAGAGAATTCACCAGAAACAGAGTGGGGAGCAGAACAGGCGGATTTACTGAAATACACTGCTGAGGGGAGCTACAGGAGACAGGAGAGTCTGCTGTGCTATATGTGGGTCACCTCCCTGGCCAAGGACAGAACGCAGGCTGCCATGGTGGGCCGCAGTGGTGATAGTGCTGAGACTGAACCACTAGGCCACCAAGGAGACTCCCATTTTAATTTTAAATCTAGTAACTTACTCTTTAAACTCATCATAGTCTCTTTCAACTCATTTCTAGGAACTAGAAAGTCCTTGGTTGCTGTTCATGTATCCAGTTTGGAATTTCTCTAAGCAGGTAACTTAATAAAAGATTCACTAATTCTGGAAAATAATATGCCTGGAGAAAAATATCTGCATCACAGCTACACTCATATAAGTACAATAACAGCAGAGAAAGGTAACTAATTCTTATCATATTTTAAACGACCCTTGGGAAAAGTTATTCTAACTATATTATGTAAAACTATAAATATATTAAATTTTATCGGTATATAAATACTTTGTGTGGGAAAACAAGATGTAAGAAGCAAATGGGAATATACACATTTAAAAAGCATTCAACCCCCATTTCTGTCTTTACCTCTTTGTATATAGTTCAAATAGTTTATGACTTCCATGACACTCGTAACTGCAAGCCAGGCAAATTCCTGCTGGTTCTTCTCCCTCTGGGGTACAGGTACTACAGGCATATAGTGCTTGTCTCTTTACTGAGCCCTACAAGAGCCCCAAAATGAAAAAAAAAGAGAACAAATCAATGAAATATGACAGTTACCAAATATTCACACATCATATTCATATGATCTGAGAAATAACTGAAATCAGGTTATTTGCAATCAAAAGCTTCCTTTAAAAACCATTAAGACCCAAAACAGCTGACAACATAGTAAAAAAATACTGTTGCATGTTACATTAATATCACTTATATGCACTATACTAGTGCTTATTTTCAAGCAATTTTTTCTTAAAGTGATAGCTTAAATTTTCAGTCAGCCATAAGTAATTCTTTTAACACACAAAAATGTAAAAGAATGTATTGGGCTTAAAAGTGACTTTCACACTTAAAATTTTGGAAAATGCTTGTGATTCCATCAAAGAGAAAATCAGTGTGTTAAAAAGGCCTCCTTTGATTTTTAAGAAATGTATACTAAAATATTTAGAGGTAAGTCGCATAGTATCTGTAATATTTTCAGATGGTTGGGGACAGGGGGTAAATGTATATAGCGATACAATAAATGTGGTAAATATATGTAAAAGGTACCCAAGTGTCTATGAAATTCTTTATGTTTACCTGTAGATTTAAAATGTTTCAAAATACAAAGTTGGAAGAAAAACAGGCAACACTTTCAGAAATCTTGATGATGATTACTCTCCTCCAGAAAGGACAATGGCACAGGGAAGCTTCTGGAATGCTGGTCAAGTTCTATTCTTGATGGGTGATAGGTATATACATGTGTTCACTTCCCACCATCCCCCCACCCATGTAAACATAACTTGTGCAATCTTTCATTTATTTCACTACAATGAAAAGAAAATTGTAGGAAAGTCTGTTATAGAAAGCTAACTACATTCCAGAAATGTATACAATTTTTTTTTTAAAGAAAGAAAGCAGTGAAAAGGTTGTTTTAGTGATGTCCAAAGGTATGAAAGTACTAATCAACATCTGGGTCATCTCTGGCTCTAGGGTTTATTCCGCCACCTCTCCTCTACTGTAAACGCAACTGATCAATGGGAACTAGTATTATGATCTCAGCTCACACCACATAATGGCCCTAGTCTCTCTCCGGACACCCGAATATTGTACTCCACACCCCAGTGCTCAAGTAACCTTCTTTCTACTACTCTTGCCTGTTTCTATCCACCTTTCTCCACTTTTGTACCTAGGAATAAATACGGGGTGAGTCACCCAAACTCAGCTCACACCCCCTCACAGCCTCGTTCACAACCTCTCCAAATGCCAAACTGTCCCTGCTCGCCCGCTCTGCCGGTGCCCTGGCTCGGGGTGGCGGGGTTCCCAGCTGGGCCGGCTGCTGCTAGATGCGGAACCCGCTCGTGTCGCCCGCAAGCTGGACGCCAACTGCAGAGGAGCGGGCTATCCAGGAGGGCACACCCGGCTGTCCGGGGCACGCGGGGCTGCTCCCTCCGCTAACTCCACGCTCACGCTCCCATTCAGAGCCCAAAATACGTTCTTAGGGTGGGGAAAGTGGGGCAAAGATGTCTGCTTTTGAGGTCACGGGGATGTTTTCGTGAAAAGCAGCCGGGGCACGGAGAAGCGACGGGAAAGGGAGGAACGAGCCGCAGCTCCAGGCCCAACGCCAGGAGAACCCCCGGGGTCGGGCGGACGGCCCGACGGGGCAGCGCCCTGCTGGACGAAGAGTCGCGGGCCCAGCTGGCGGAGGAGAAAGAGGGCTGCGGGGCCCAGAATGGGGGAGCCTCGGAAAAGCGGAGGCCCGGGCCCCACCGCGGAGGCCGCCGCGGCCGGCGGGCATCGGGTAGATGCTGGGGGAGGCGGAGGTTCAGGGGAGCCCCGCGGAACGAGGAGCGAGGCCCGGGCCGCGCGCCCACCTGCGAGTAGGAGCACTTCTCCGAGTCGCTGCCACCAAGCACGGCGCATGCCTCGTTCTCCAGTTCCTCGTCCTCCTCGAGCACGTCGACCAACGACACCACGGGCTCCAGCTCCGACGGCCGCCCGGCCGGTCCGTCGGCGCCTGCCATCCTCAACTGTCACCCAGACCGCGGCTTTGCATCAGCAGACGCGGGAAAGCGGCCGCGAGGGGCGGGGCCGGAGGAGGCGGGGCCAGGCGCCAGCAACCAATCCTAGAGAAGGCGAGCAAAGGAAGGGGGAGGAGCGACTTCCGCAAAACGGAAGTCACTCCTCTTCCTTCTCCGGCTCGCACCCACCCGCGCCGCGAGGCGATTTCCGCTTCCGGGTGGCATTTTCCTGTGGCGCGCTCTTGAACCTCTGCGGTCGTCATGGAGCTGCTGGGCGAATATGTCGGGCTGGACGGGCAGAGGCAGGAATTGAGGGTCTCCTGTGAGGCGCCAGGCGACGCTGACCCTTTCCAGGGCCTGTTGTCCGGCGTGGCCCAGATGAGGGAGCTGGTGGCCGAGCTCTTCAGCACGCTTGTGCAGCCGGAAGCGCAGGACCGTGTGGAGGCGGCCTCAGACCAGGCCTTGGACGGTGAGCGCCGAGGCGGTGCTGGAGCGACGCGAGGGCGGGGTGTCTGAGGGAAATCTGCACTACGAGCCGGTGTAGGGGCCAGACCGGTATAAGTGAGCTTCGGGGGCGGAATCCCAAGTTCTGTGTAAATCCACAAGAGTTTTTTTTTTTTTAACTTTAAAAATGGTGGTTCCTTGCCGCCATGTTTAGCTAAGCCGCTTCCAGCCCAGCGTTTTCACAACTAGCTCTGCATTTCGAAAACCAAAAACTCGTTGAGACCCGCTACTTGGAGTAGGCAGCGCTCTGGAGAAGGGCTGAGGTGATCGACTCGGGCCTGTCCTTGTTAAGCGCTCACTCCGGGCAGGTAGAGCGGGAAAGCTGCAGCGCAGCAGCCCGGGACTGCCCGGCGCGGGCTGCCCGCCGGGCTCCTGGTGTTGCGGTGGGGGGCGGGGCTCGTACCCGGGGGAAGTGACAGACAGGTGCCGGATCTGGAGCGTTTCACGGTAACTAGTTTCCCCACATCCTAGTCTTGTAGCCGCAGGTCCACAGCAGAAACGTGAAATGGAACCACATTCGTGTTTTGTTAAATCTTGAGTGCAAAAGTTGGCAGGTGGGTACCTGGGACCTTTGGGGACTAAATATTGATGACTTAACGCCTCTAGCGGGGAGCTTCCCCGTGTATTTTCCTTTCCCTCTTGTTTACATCATGATGGTTCCAGATGGTGTGAGGGGGCAAGTCTGGACATGACACTTAAGTTTAGGCAGTAAGTGAGTTCTGTTTCTTGGCCTTTCTAATCTGGTACCATTGGCATAAAGACAAGTTTTAACTCCAGACATTTGAAAAAATAGCCTTACTTGCTGGTGGTTTAGTAATATTTTTGTATATAGAACTTGTTTTTGCTGTTTAATGACATCCCCATAAAACAGGTTTGAATTTCTTTTGTGGAAAGTGATAAAAATTAAAATAGTGAATTTTGTTACATGAATTATTACAGCATAGTTAACAAAAAACATGAAATGCTTAAACCCAAATTACTAAAGAAAAGTGATAGAATGCAACACTGAAAAGACAAAAATGACAGTCATTCAGTTACCAGCTGTGCAGAGGACTTGATTAGACACTTTCCACAGATGGACAATCAGGCATTGGGAAAATGCAAATCAAAGGGACAGTGGGATTTAACTTCATGCCAACTAAGATAATTTTTTTAAAAAGCAAGTGTTGGCTAGGGTGTGAAGAAATTGGAGCCTTTGTACATTGCTGTTGGAAGTGTAAAATGATGCACCTTTGGAAAACAGTTGGTGATTCTTCAAAAAGTTAAACATAAAGTTACCTCATGACCCAGCAACTGTAGGGACTCCCAATGGAACTAAGAGACCTGGGAACATGTCCACAAAAAAACATAGGGATGAATGTTCCTATTAGCACTGTTCATAGTAACTGAAAGGTAGAAACAGCACCATGTCCATCAGCTGAACAAAATGTGGCATATCTATGCAGTGGAATATTATTCAGCAAGAAAAAGGAATTAAGTACTGATAAATGCTAAATCATGAATAAACCTTGAAAGTATACTAAGTGAAAGATGGTAGACACAAAAGACCACATATTTTATTATTCCATCTTTAGGAAATGTCCAGAATAGACAAATCTACAGAAAGTAAGTTAGTGGTTATAAGGACTGAGAAGGATGGGCGGTTATTACTAATGGGTATAGGTTTTCTTCCTGGGATGATAAAATTTATAGAATTAGTGATAATGGTTTCACAACTTAGGAAATATACTAAAAGTCAATAGACTACTCTATAAAAGAGTGAATTGTGGTATATCAATTAAAAAGTGACAGAAAATTTTTAAATAGAAATTCCTAAAATATTTTAGTCATATTTCAGTTCTATTAGAAACATGGTTTTACTAGCCCTTAAAGTGAAATGGTCTCTTAATGAATCGTGTAGCTGCTTATATTTCTTTGAACCGCTGAACATATTGTCAAACCACAAATATTTATTTTAAAAGGTGATGAAGATGATGGAGAAGATGAAAATAACATTGATAACAGAACTAACTCAGATGGACCATCTGCAAAACGGCCAAAACCACCATCTTAATACTAGCTTTTAGGGGATTTAAAAAAACTACTACTTTGTCTTCATTATTACACATTGACATTTAGGAAGACTTGTACTATTATTTGGGAAAATATTTGCTTTGTTCCCCTTGGACAGTTTTGTCAAAGAAAATACTGTTTCTTCTGTTTCTAGCAAAGAAAGATAAATAAATGCTTAGAAATAAATCTGTTTTCTTGAGTGAGAAATACATTTGAGACCATTGAAATAAAATAGAACAATTGATAATATATAAAATCCTCTTAAGTTAGCAGGTGAATTTTTGTTTTCTACTTTAAAATAACCATTAGGTTAAATTGTGATGTCACCATTTTTAGTTTCTGCTTGTTATAAAAGTACACGTTATGGTTTTATAGGCAGTAACGTTTGAAAGAACTAACATGAGCAAATGGTGAAAATTGAGTATTAAATTTAAGAGTGGCAGTTCTATATAAATAGAAAAAAAAACAGTTAACAGACACAGAAAAAAGAGAGCTCTTGAGAGAGCCAAGGAAACCCTGAATGTATACTGACACCCACTATACAAGACCTTAAGTAAATTCATTGAATAGCTTTTAGAGGTTTCCTTTCATCCTGTGGCCACATTTTGATTTTGCTTAACAAAGGACTTTTAAAATATATACATTCCTAAAATATCTGTAGATACATATAATCCTTTTTTGTTTGTTGGTGGGACTAAGGCTTTTCTGTTTTTAAGGCGTTGCATTTAATATGTATCTTTCCTAACCCATTTAGGTAATTAAAATGCAACGGAATCAAGTAGCATGCAGCTAATGAAATAAACTCATAGAATTCTTAAGAATTAGCAGTAAGCTACAAATGACATGATTTATTTCAGAGATTAATGGATTCTAGGTGTTTGCCCTGAGTTTCAGAGCTAGTAGCCATTAGTAGATAGTGTATTACCACAATGTGTTTTCCAGTTATATAATCTAAAGTCTCTAGCTTACAAAAGTTGTATAAAGTACAGGCTATTAAGGAAACTGAATTTACACAGCTTTTCAGATCTTTAAAATACTGTTTTATTTGAAATATTAGTCTTCCACTGATTACTCATGTAATCAAAGCAGTACCAAGCCTTATAAGTGGTCAGAAATCATTTTAGCTGGTGATAGTGTCTTTAATATTGGTTACTTGAACTCAGTATGTTATTTATAATTTTTAATCCTTAAAATACCCAATTCATTCAGCATTAAATATAATTGATAGTATAGTATTAAAATACTTGATAATTCTAAATAAATAGCTGACCTTTGTTCCTGAACATTGTTTAGTGAGTGTATTCAAGAAGATATTTCAAGGTATTTGTGCTTATGACCCTATAATTTTAAGAGGAGGATTATTAAGTTTGGTTGGTCTTTTAGTATTTAATTCTAGTACTGTTTTCAAAAGTCAGCCATCTGTGACCAAAAAAGATCATTTTGAAAGGTCGGTATAGAAGGAAGGCATTGCTTACTCTGACCTGCTGCCTAGTGGGAAAACGAGTCACAGACAAGCAGAACTCTTTATTCTTTGAAATAACTGCCAACTTTTGCCCAGGAAATCAGCCCCTAAGTCCTACCTAAAAATAAGCTTAGTACAGATCTTACATAAATTATTTCTTTGGTGTGAAATATGTAGACATATGCAAGATAGATACCTGTTACGGATGTGCTTTTCTGTCACTGTAAATACTTAAATAAGCTATATGACCAGATTTTTACTTTTCTATAATAGGTGTAGTTCCTTGCCTGTAAGTTAGAAAGTTTGAACATTTATTTTTTTAAAGATTTACTTATTTATGCATACAGAACTGGGGTACTGGTCAGAGGTGTGGTGGTAGCGAGAATTCACCAGAGACAGAGTGGGGAGCAGATCAGGCAGATCTGTGAAGTACACTGCTAAGGGGAGCAGCAGGTGAGACAGGAGAGGTCTGCCGCGCCATGTGGGTCAGCTTCCAGGCCAGTGATGGAACTCCTGCTGCAGTGGCTACCCATAGCTTCATAGAGCTGCGTCTTAACCCCTTGTGCCACCAGGGAGGCCCCGATATGTATTTCTTGGATATTTAAGTACAGAGTAAAAGTATAAAATTCCTAAAGAAATTGGAGCGTATTTACAAAATGATACAAGTTTTAACAAATAAAAAATTGGTTTTTGTGATGAAATTGGGTTCTATTCTCACTACTTTGAACATCATATCAGGTACTAAAAGAAAATTGAATCATAGTTTTAATTTAGCACTTCATAGTGAAGGTTTCTAAAGCAGGATTTTTAAAAATTCAGAAATCATGGACATGATGAATAAATGTCATTACATAATAAAATTTCTGAACACAGTAATATTGAGAAGACACAAGGAAGAGACACAAAAAAGATGCTAAGAAATCATTCCTTTTATAGATCTTTTGCATAGTCAGACTACAGTGGAAAGAGCAAGATTGCATTAAAGGAAACAACTTTTAAATGAAAACTGCCCCTTCAAAGAGATGAAATTTTAAAATAATGTACAGGCATTTTTAGTTTTCAGACTGAAAGATCAAAAGGTTGGCAGCAGTATTGAGCTGGAAAGGCTAAGAGGTCTATAACATTGATGGTATAGGTGATAAAACAATTTGAAAGTTAAGAATTCTGCCAAAATATGAATTGTATGTGTTCTGACTCATGATTTCATCAACTGAAATTTATCCTACAGAAAAACAGCAAATGGGTGCATACAACTACTTAGAATTCATTGCAGCATTGTCTTAGTAACAACAAAGAATGCAAACAACTTAAAAAAAGACCCTAGTTAACTAAAAACAGGACATAATGACTTTGGGCAGCCATTAAAAGGGCCAAAGTATAGTTTTGTGTGTGTGATGATTGATCTCTAGGAAGTGACATTACGTGAAAACTAGCAGTGTGCGAGCAGTGTGTAGAATGCTACTGCTGGAGAATGTTTGGTGCATGATGCAGATCTTGAGAAAGCATACAGAAGTACAGAAAAAGTTACTGTTAGACTTTCCTGCAGCTTTTCATTTTTAAAAAATTTAATTTTAAAATTTAATAAGGGCAGATCAGCCTTATTAACAAGCCTGAAATACTGTCATGCCAGTAATTCAGGGCAAAGCATTAACCAATCCAGATAACCAAAAACACATTTCCCACTTGGCTACTACTTGATAGAAGGGCGTAAAGTTTGACTTCTGAAGGTAGGAAAGTTGAGTTAGATATGAAGTAGGTGCCCATGAAAGGGGAGAGGGGTCTTTACAGCTGGTGAGCCTGGCCTTACCCTTGAAAAAATGGCTCTCGAGCCCATGTCCTCTTAAGGTAAAAAATGAATTTAATAGTGTTGCTGTAACTATTCCAGTTCTCAGATGACCTTTAGGATTAGAAATGCTCTACTTAAGACATGGCCCTGGAAATGGTGTTTGCTAAACAGCAAGCTTCTGTTTAGATCTTTTAAAATGTAGCCGCTCCCATGGGGTACCAAGATTACTGGATTTCAGCTTAAATAGAAATTTACTCCACCACCTAGGACCAATGAAAGAAATCCTGCTGGGTATAGAAGTAACTTCTAGAAACCCATTACTTATTTAAATGAGTGGCTTGGGGGGTCAAGGTATTACTTTGAAAGCCTAAGTGTGTTGTAGCAGAAAGAGGTCATTAAGATACTTGGTACATAATGTGAAGTAATTTAGGAAACCATTATCTTCTGATTGTAACTTGAGAATTTTTCAAGGCTCAAATCACTTAAAATCGCTTTTGTGAATATCGTACGTTTTTTTTCTGCATTTATAAGGAAAATCCCAAGATAGTCACGTCACAAATTTTTGGCAAAAGTAAATTTTTAGATTCATTTTAAATATTGGCCTTGAAAAGAATATCACTACCTGCTGACACTTGAAAGAACTTAATAACCAAACATCTAGAACAGGTGACAGATTATGCTGTATACAGCTGGCAAATGTCAGCTTTATAGTCTGTTCCTTCTGGAGAGTGAAATAGATTGTTTTGCAGTCTAGTGAGAGTTGTTCATTGGCAATAAAAATCATTCATGCAGTAAATAAACCTGTAGGCACAGAGTACATAGCTGTTCGCAACCAGACAAAATCCCTGCCCTCCTGGAATTTTAGATAACTGACAAAATACATGTTATGTGATGGTGAGTGCTGTGAAGAAAAACAAGGAAGGCAGATACTACCTTTAAATAGGGAGGACAGAGGCTATCTTGCTGTGCTGACCACTGAACAGATATCTGAAGAAGGTGATACGGTGGCCAGAGCCATGCATCAGGCAGAATGTATGAGTGCAGAGACCCTGAAACAGGCTTTTCTAGCATGTTCTAGAATCAGTAAGATCGGTGTGACTGGAGTGGGATAGGTGTGCAAGAGTAATAGAAAATGAAGCAGTGGATAAGGACTATTTACAACTGTATGCCATGTTAAAGATTTTAATATATTTATTCTAGTAGAGAAGTTATATGAGGATTTAAAAGGACCCCTGATTACTTCTTTCATTGTTGTTGATTTGTAGAGGATTTGAGCTGACTTTGGTGGCTGGGGAGATGAGCAGTTTGGTTTTGGACAGGTTAAATCCCAGGTATCTGGGATGATGTCCTGGTAAATGTCAAGTAGGCAATTGGATAGCCACATCTGGAACTCAGGAAGGACATGCAGCACAGTAATAGGAAGTTGCACATCTCACCTTGAGGCTGGATGAGATAACCAAGGGAGTAAAGTATAGAAAAGAGAATTGGGCATGCCAACATTTAGTAATGGAGTGGGAGCTCTCAAGTAAAGGAGGCAGGAAAAGTTGAGAGGAAGAAAGCAAACCAGGGAAGTGTCTAGAACTGAGCTAATAATACAGAATAGCTGCTAATAAATGTGGTTGTTTGAATCTTAAATTCAGTTTACTAGTTACACTATCCATATCTCAATTTCATGCAGCTAGTGGTTCCTGATTTGGACAGTATCATTGCCAAAGTTCTCTTCAACAGTACAAATCCAAAAAGTATCTCAAAGACAAAAAGTTTAAAAAAAAAAAACAGCTAATAAGTAATTTAAGGACTGGGAATTTGACCATTGTATAGTCACATGCAACTGGAATCAGAAAATACAGTGACTTCATTCCCAACTTTGGCCTCCAGCTGGCAGCTGCCTCCCGGGTCC